GCATGATAATTACTGGATAAGACTTTCACGAACAAGATTAACTTGTTGTGCCTAAAAAAAAGGAAATTCATGAATTATGTTAGGGTTAGTGTGATGGGGTCATTAACTTCGGAGGAAGTTGAATTATCTAGTTGGACTATTATTCGCCTATGTTGTCTGTAGGACCAGTGAATGATAGCAGGGGAAACCTCAATGCTTCTCCTAATGAGAAGACGAAGATAGCAAACAGACTAATTCTCTGTTGTACTGCTTTCATTCATAATTCAAACCTCATACTATATGATATACACTTTAAATACGTGACCGAACAAAAGCACAAATATTACGATAAGTAATACAAAAACAGCAATAAGAAAATATTTGATGATAAATATGAAATGAATAAGATACATGATAACGGTTAATGAGTCAAACAAAACTTACAAAAATTAAAAAGATAGGAACATAGTAATCCAAGCATTTAAAACTTATTCAAAAAAAAATAAACAGTTATTTTTTGTATGATAGTTCCCACAATCCAACCTCATTCAAATCCTCTCCGGTATGGCAAAATCAAACCAAAGAAATCGTGTTTAACCAATTTTAAATGATCTAAAAATACTGTTGATTTTCATGATTAATAACAAATGATCATTAGAACTTGTGATTCCGATTATTGAAAGTCACACATAAGCGAAGTGATGTGTCAAGATATGCTAAACTTAGTTGTACGATATTAATTAAACAAACACAATATTTCAGGCATGGATGTTTCACATATTCAAACTAAGTGTGAGAGTTCACTTTTAGGTCTCGTGTAAGCTAACCGTCCTGGGTTCATATCTAAGTGAGAGTATAGGTCCACACTACTGAAGATTTCCAAACTAGAAGAGGACAGATGTACATTGTGTGTTAGTTTGTGGTGGCAAATGTCAACGTTCTGCAGCTTCGTAATTCACTCGTCTAGGCAATCGTCACCAAATAACACCTGACGGTTATAAATCAGAAGGCAAATATGAAGTGTTGAATTCGTTTATTTTTAGCACACCACAAAATGGACCCGCAGACTATAAGCATGCAGGGCAGGCACGCTAGCGAGAGAATTGGCGAATTGATGAATGAATTAATAGGATTAAAATGTTCATACATATACATAGCAAAATCTCTGAGTCGAGATATTTAGGAGATTAGCATTAAAGCGAATAGGATGAATATGCACGTAGGCGGTAAGCAATATTCAGTCATACCAGCTCATACAAACCAGACAATAATAAAAACCAATGGTACATAAAATTTACTGCTGTACGAGGGGCTTGGTTAATCGAAAGGCCTAATCAAATTAAATATGAACGAACTCAAATGTATGTGGAGGCACTACAAGTTCTTCAACTGGCGTTTTTCAGATTTACCGAGTCACCAAACTGAATTAGAGTATTTTCATAACGATTCTAATCTACCCTCATAGTTTCTTTTTATATTATCACAATTAAATTAATTTTCAACTTGATCTGAACTTTCTTCAACCGAACACACACGCACACTCAGTACAAAATAAAACAATGTAACACATTTTACGTAAAATCATTCGATCATACATAAATTATTAAATACATTTCGTTATGATTTAGTTCACACAAACATACATGGATGTTCTTAACAATCTAACTATTACAGAAATACAGGTTGACTATACACAGATGATAATTTATTCGAATACATGTTAAACATTGCAATCAAAAATTTATTTTAGCGTTTATACTTAAGTACAAGTTCCAATGGATTATATCATGCATTTTAAAATGCATAAGCAGAAGTTATGTGTAGATAATGTGAACATAGTCGTTTTTAATAAACAGTGAATCAAAACAATCTTTGATAAGCTCACTAATTTACAAATAAATGAAAATTCGAACACATTTTATCGCAAAACGATTTTTTTTTTAATATTTCTTACTACAAAAAAAATGGTATATTGATTGATTTAATCACTTATTTATTTAAATTGCTTTCTAATGAAGCATGAAATTTGGAACTGTTATTGTAGGATAGAGATATTTGCATTGAGTTACATTAACTTATAAAAAAAAACATTCCACTCACAGACAAAATTTTCTAAATAAATAATTACAGAGTACACGCCAATTTTATAAAACTACATACACGATGGCAATATTCGTTTTGAAACATTTTAGTACACATTCTTGTACGAAAATAATCAGAAAACTTTTAGTCAAAATGATCGTGTAACAACAATGTCAATAGTAAAAGTGTATGAGATAAACGTGCATCTGATTGACAAAAATTGTGTAATCGAAAGTGATATCAGTTTACGGAAGACTAGTGGGTATGAAAGCATATTCGTAATTATAACCATCCATCAAGTAGGGACACAGTTCCTTTTTATTCAGAGAAAAGTATTAGCAAATGATAAAACTATTCAAATCTATCGAAGTGGTCACATTAAAGGAATGCTAGATTTTGTTTTTCTTTTGTTGATAGTCAGTCAGTCAGATGCAATGTTAAACTTCGTACGTAAGTACATCATTTCATGTTGCCATACCACATTAGCACAGAGATATAATTGTCAATTCAAATCCAATAGTAGAAGAGGTTGTAAAAGTATTAGAAGTAATCGGAGAGGTTAGGATTAGAAGATATTATTCAAGAAGTATGATTCAGTGAGAAAAGTTTAGAAAGTCAAAACTAGAGGGGTTGAAGAATACAGAAGATTAGGATTTGAGAGAACTCAAAGAATAAATGCACCTGCGCCATTGCAAACGATTTTGAGCCATGTCATTCAGGGTATCTGACCATCGATTATTATCATCTCGCGGACCCCAACCAGGTAGTCGACAACTACCGTCATGGCTAAGTCCATGTCACTAATTAAGGAATCAAAATAGGAGTAGATTTATCATAATAAATTGATCAAAACAATATACGGAGTATATTTGTCGTACAAGCTACAATTACTACATCCAGTGGTATAAGTACAAAAAATGTGTACTAACTGTTTACTTATATCAGTAGAATGTTTTGTTTAATAGCAATTATGACTGTCATTTACAGCCGTGACAAAGCAGCAGAGCACAAAGTGTAGATGATTAGTCAAAAAGAGATATCAGTGAGAAGATAGGTCAATCTAATTACCAAATGTCCGTGAACAGGTGTTAGATAAGAGCAGTTATTTATTTATTTAAACATCTACAGATTGGTACAAACGGGAGCCTAAGTATTTGTGTGCCATACAAACCATTGAATTTCTGTGTGGGCTGGGATGCTGCCCGACTGCCCAAACCAAAGCAGTTGGTTTCCTTAGAGTGCCACTCCCTAGTCCTTAGACCTACAGATCTAACTCACAAGGCAATTAAGCTTTTTCATGAGATACAGTCCAAATGAAGCGGCCAAGAATAGGTCAACATGCAGTTTGTTCCTTCAGGGTCCTGGAGCCGACTCTTCTAGGTGGATCCTCTGTACCTAACAAACTTGTTTAAGAACCGAACATCCATTTCTCGTACTCGTGATTTCGCTAACAACACGTATAATACGAGCAGAACTTCCCTGTCAGTGGTCATATACGAGCATTTCAAGAGGGAGAACCGACTCTTCCCACCAGGGCATTAGGGATAAAAGACAACCTACTTAATGCAGACGAATACGAAATGCAATTGACTTTTTTAAGATTTTATTATATGATAGATAGATAGATAGATAGATACTTGATTCAGAATACTGTACTTCTACACACTGAAAGATATTTCATTCAAAAGTTACTAACAAGAGATTTGTTGATTATCTACAACTAACTGGAATTTATACTCTGTAATTTTCTTAATGTAGTCAAAAATGAAAAAAATTATGAGTAATTAATTAATTACAGGCTTAAACCGATGTTCATAATCACTGAAACTAGTAGATGTGAATTTAATGATCAAAGTCAAGTTAACTGATGATATTATGATTGTGTTAAGACCATGTTTAATCGGGGATTACCTCAAAATGAAATGTTATATAAAGTATCTATATGATGGGAGTATTTATTAGTTAATTAAATAGAGTGTAGATCACATTACTCTGATACATCCGTACAGCGAAGATTAAGACAGATATATTCATTCACTGTTTACCTGTAAAATGTTAGGTTCTCATTATCCCAACCTATTTTATCGCTTTTGATTCTTACTCAATAACCTGAGTACATATTTCAAATACTTGTCTTTGAGTTAGATTTTTTGTGTAATGAATACTAATATTACTGAGTATAGTTTGAGCTTATAACCGAATGATTGAAAGCCAACTGCTGTACCCATTAAGTGACTGTTTCTATGTTTATTTGTAGATATACCGAATTAAACAATAATTTATAGTTATATTGGTAGTCAGATACCTAACAGTTAGAAAGTATAAATTAATGATATGTCACATTTCTTTGGAATTGCGTAGAGGTGCATATAAAGTGTATTATGTGATGGTTTGACTGACACACGAATTGAATTACTGATAAATTATTCAAGATTTTTATCACTGGCTGAGAATTGGCGTAAAAACAATCAAGATTAACAACTTTAGAATGAAACTTTTTGGTGTTGTTTGCACACTACTTCAAAAAGAGATAATTAAGACATGAAGTGATTACAGCATTATTTAGTTATTAATCGTGAATGTAAGAGACAACATTTTCTTACATTAGTCAGTTAGGAACAAGCTAGACTACTTTTATTTGACATCATCAGCGGATATTCATCTCACATAGTTTTTCTATGAGATCTTTCATCACGGTATGATATTGAGCAAAAAACTATCATTAACTTCAAGGTCGATAACAACAACACTCATCAACAAAATCCATTTAATAAGAACTCATCTATTTTGGTTCATTTGTAACAAATTTAACAAAATCTCATTGGTAAGCTAATGTATGTAAAGAAAAAAATTCATTAAATTAAATTAAATTCAATGAGAACTTTCAATCGTGCTCAGTATTTAGATAATACTTTGCACAATAGTTGAATATTATTTACCTTGTATACTCTTCCTGAAGCCATACTGGGTCAGGAACGTAGAATTTGACACGGAACCAAAATGTAAAAATTGCTTCACCTTGAAAATGAGAAAATGAAAATTAACGTTTGTTGTGTAAGAAAGCTTAATGATTTTCTAGTTGAAATAGGCCTAGTTAACAGAGTAATAAATGTAATTTTCAATAAAGATAATGAATGGTGTTAGGTGGTGCCATCATGAAAAAATATATATCCAGAAACCACAAAGTATTAATTTGGAAACATTACAAATTTTTGGTAACTCCAATTGTTGTGGGTGTATAAATCGACAAAAAATTACTTTATCTGAATATAAAATACACCTATAAATAATATGGTTTTGAAGAGGAAGATAAATGATAAATTCACAGATGCTAAGATTACAAGTCATAAACTTATTACGGAATGCTATGAAGTTTTAAAAAAATTCTAGTTGACATATACAAGTTAGATGAACTAGGTCAAGTCAAACAGTCAAAAAAATTTCCCAAGATTAATGTAAATTCACTCTGTCATTTACTTCCATCTATTTAGGATGAGATGATATGTATTGTACTGTTTTTTGAATGATCTTTACATCAGCTTATATTAACTAGAATGGTTTAATGGACTGAGTACCTATCTTTTGAGCTCACGTTTAACTTTACGGCCAAAATGCGTTTAATAACACGGAAAGAAGCAGGAACAGTATAAAAAATATCATGAGAGTTCCCGAAAAGAAATTGTAACGTGTGGTATATGATTGACCAAAAAAAGACAATGTTAAAATTCAGTTTAGTGTCCCTGTTGATTATCTATAGCTTCTCAAGTTTAATATGAAAACATAACTTTATCACTTATATTTGTAGTTGGAATATACATGTATTGAATGTATTTAGATAAACTGTTTAAACTGTCATATCTCAAATCACCACGGTAAAGGGAAAAAACTTGCAGAATGGTGAGCAGAAGAAAAAAAAATGATAATATCACCTTTGACGGGAAATTAATAACAGAAAATATGATTGGTAATATATATGATAGTACAAATTTTATAATTTGGAAGAGGTTATTCAACTATACTACTACAGTCAACTTTGTTCCTCGTCATTCACATCCTATAACCATAGATTACGGTTATCTTGTGAACTTTAATTAAAGGGATTTGAGCTCAAGTGCATGTTCTAATAAATAACGATTTAATTTTTGATATGATACCTTCATTGGAGTGTCAATAGTGACAGAGACTCAGATAACTAGCCTTATCGTAGATCATCCAGCTTGCCCAAAAGTAAACAATATTTATAACTACAAACATTATCCTAGTAGCCTTAGTTTCATAATACATGTAGTTATGAAATCTTTAAGGTAGGATTACTAGTATTTCTCGAATCACCGTATAGAATTTTTAAGTGAATACAATGTAGAATATCTTACTAATGATGAAAAAAACCAGCTTCACAGTGTATGTAGAAAAATAATATTGTTTACTATGTAAGTGAATTAGATAGGTTGTGTTAACTTTACATTACATGTTAAATGGTCTATGCAAAAGTGTAGTTTACATATAACAGAATTTATTAAAATAAAACACATGTTTACCTCAAACTAATACATGTGCATAACACAAATGGTAACAAAAATATAAACTTGTATTCACAATATGGATAGATTCATAAATGAATCACATAACAGTGGTGGAAACTGAAAAAAGCAAGGTAAGAAAAACTTGTCATCCATTATCAACAGTCTAAATTTAAAGTGAAGGCATGACTTTATTTGGGATAAACTATCATGGAAATCATAAACGCGGAACTTTCTATTTCTAATCACTTTCCTTTTGTGAAGATGTATCAAAGACAATTGAGAGTGATACTTTGAAAGAGCTTTTGTGAAGCTCAACTGGTTTCATTAAATCGTGGTGTATACTACTCACAACGTGGTTTATAAGTGGTATGCAGCGGAGGGTTGCACAGAGGTTAGTGCTGAAGGAAAAAGTGTCGGATCCGGATGTATGGCGCGACTAGTGTTTCGAAAACTATCAGATATGTGGAAGGAGGTAGCCAAATGAAGTCTGAACCTTGTCTTCTTTAAATACATCTTAATGTCTTCATTCATTGCAAAACAATACTAAATGAATTATTTGTGAAAACCGTATTGGTTCAAATATTGATGAATATTCTTATAATACTAAATAGTTATTACATCAACAGAAAGTAGGTCAATGCCCTTTTGAGATCATTTCAAATAGTGTTTACAAATTTACACGTACTTTCTAAAGTAGGTATATGGGAAGGACTGATTAAAGAGTTTGTACAAATATTTTTTAACATACTATGTTGATGTTTGGCTAAACAATAAGTCCTCATATTTATGAAAGGCAGGAGCTGATTATGTGCGGTACACAGAGTGAATATCTTTAAAACTTAAAAAGTAATTTATAATCAACGAAAGACGTGTTTACATTCCTTTCCGGAAATTATTTGAATGAGGTATTTTTCACCTTAACTATATTTACAGAGGTAGAATTGTTTGTATCAGTTGTGATTCCAGTTCTCCCACTTAATAAGGATAAATTTTCAGTTAAGTTTGCAATAACCGTAACTATACTGCATAATACTAGTCTCATGTCCTGGTATGTCAATTTTTCGTTTGAAATCCATCCAACTGAAGTACATTAAACTTTACTTCTAAAGACGAATATATGAAATTTCAAATGTTTCATCAACTAACTTGTAAAACTGGTAGTATGAGTTAATTACATCTATTATAAATTTTCGTGTAAGATCAAGCAGCCGACATTACTTTGACTAATAAGATTTTACAAACTTACACTTTACCATTTTCTAAAGTGAATAAGATTACTTCAGTCAAATATCTTACCTAATCGAAATATTTTAGCCTAAAGACCAAGACTTGGTCAAGCAGAGGTATGTAATCATAACTAAAAGAATGTTTAATAATTGTCGATTTGATTAATTATTTTACCTTATAAACTAGCAAAAGAAAAATATTTAGGTTATTCAATGAAACTATCCTTCCAACTTAAATATGTATCATAATTCAGTAGCCAAGTTGATGGCAAACTGTGACTATGTACAAGTTCAATGTTTTTTCAATCGATCATTATCCACGTAAACTTGAATTTTAAAAAAATATTTACCGTCAACTATTTAGATAATTCGCTGCTCCTGACTGTTGATACCATTGCTGAGTTTAGTAGAGACAACTACTTATATGAACTCTATTAGCACTGAACCCGATATTTAAAGATTGATTTTTGGTCATCCTATCTTACTTATAATAAACTAGTCCATCCAGATCAACTAGACGTGTTCAGACAGTTTGGAAAGGCTTTACTTCTGTACATTGCGGTGACTCAAGCGTATCGGTGAAAAATCAAACTCAATGTACGTATCATTCTAATAAGATTAGAAAAATGATCGAATCTACGTAACCGGCTGAAATATATTCAGTTTGTTTACCGTTAAAAGATATTGCATTACAGGGTTGGGAGAGTGTTAAGTTACACATTTGAAAGCATGGATCGATCAGTGTTAGATTTCAAATGTGTAACTTAACAATTTTCACAACCCCGTAATGTAATTAGCTTTGCTCATTAGTGAATAAGTGCGTGAGGAATCTTCTCCGAGTCGTGACCAGTGAAGTTCAACCTGTTCGGGTGTAGACAGTAACTACCAAAGGCAGTGTATGAGGTTGCACAAGACCGTGAATTGATCCAAGTTAGATACCTGTTCTGTGGTCCAGAGGTTGGGCGTTCGCGCGCAAGATCGAAGGTCCTGGGTTCGAATCCTGTGAGGTGTAGGAGTCGTGGATGCGCACTGCTGAGTCCCATACCATGACGAAACGGTCGTCCAGTACTTCCAGGTTCTTAATGGTGGTCTAACACTGGTCGATTGATGATTTCAAATGTTATAAGATATGTTTAATATCGTATTTTTGTATTCTTGGAATTTTTACTTAGGATATTTGGCAGCTGACCGAATTTACTATCATTAGTGACAGTAAACAAATACAAAAGTAAGTGAATAGAGATCAATACTAGTTAATTGCTTAAATTAGCGTACTATCAATAAGCATGTGATGAAAGTGATGATCAAGCGGATCGAATAATGAATTAGGGAGACAAATTAGACACTCTGAACCTATCCCTATTATTCTTATTGGATAGAGATCAAAATTCTCAGTTACGCTAACGTATGCACACTTAGTGTCTATATCTTATTAGAAGTCAATATCAACACTTTGATAATGCGTTTTATTTCTTGTATTAATTTGAAAATTTTGATGAATAAAGAAATTTTTTAGAGATAAGAATACAGTATTTTAGATACTGTAGCATAAAAGTACATAGTGTCAGAGAGTAATATTTTGTATAGTTATCCTCTTTTATGGGACACTGAACAGGATAATTGCAAGCTAAAAAGTGAAACGTAGTAATTGATTTTGAGTTTTCTTCTGGTACAGTCAAAAAACTCTAGTTATTTTTAGAATTACAGGAACAAGTTAAAATTTGGTGAGTTTCATAAGCTCTACGATATTAATCTTAATATTATTTATGAATTGTTTAATCGATCTGTAGATCCATGGATTTCATTTATAAAAATCTAATTGACATTTACATAGGGCCAGTTTTACTGAAATCCGTAATCATTATATCTTATTTCCAGCATGAACTTTTACAGTAATTGGGATCAGCTTAGCCGTCAGTATGATTATTCCTGGCTACTTCAGCGACAATAAAAGCAAATATAAATCAGAGGATTGCATAAACTGTTTTAGCATCTTCTACTGAAACTTCATGAGCAGATAAATAAAAAATTAATTTATTATGGTGTAATATAAAATTTAAGGTGGGACTACCCATTAATTTGTCTCTAAAAGTGATTATGGATTATGAGGTGAATAAACATACATTAAAAACGGTCAGATTTTTTCTAATAGTATACAAATATCTTGAAAAACATGCCGCGGATAATCATGTTCTTTACACTTTTCTCACTAAATATTAGCTGACAGTCATAATAGCATGTGCTGATAACAATTTATTCATGGATGCATTTATTTGTACAATATCAACCAATTCATTATTTTGAAGTGGAGTAGCGATTACTTTTCAATCACAATCACTATAATGCAACAAAATCATGCACTTCATTTGACATAGGAAATGCAAATTTGCCCGACTTTCAGCTATTTTTCTAGTTTAAGTCTAGAAGGAAGTAGTTGAATCGGATTTAAAATATACAACTCATTCACTGAAAGCCAAGTACCCTGTTCACCAAGTTACCTGCACCAGTATATATGATATTGTTTCAAACCTAAAAGCTGAATGAAATCCATTTTATTTAATACAGCCCTTTCAGATACATAAACTGTATTTAATTGCTACTGTCTGGGCTATCATTCAACTCTGAAATTAACAGTATTAATTATAGATATTGAATATTCAAACTGCATTGATATAAATAATCATATTTCTCACCTTTACACTGCTTTCTGATTTTTCTGGTCGGATCCAACCATTTCTTAAATTTTTAATAAAAAATAATAGTTTTATCAGCGCTTTAAGACCAATATATACATATAAAGAACATAACAGATGAAAACGTAGTGGGTTTACATTTATTATTAAACTTCAAAGTCTTTCCATAAGGGTGAATTATTTGCAAACCAAGTACTTAACTGCAACAGACAATAAAAGGATGACAAAATGGAGCAAGATTATGTTACATGATGGTCCAGAAATCACCATAACGACTAGTGTCCTTGTCTTATGGATTCCTATTACTCAAACCAAAATGAGCTGAAAGCGATTACTTTTCTGAGCATTCAAAATATACAGCAAAACTATCATGAAAACGATGAATACGCTTAGCAAGAGAAATGACTTTATTTCAAGGGATACTCGTCAGTTGTTATATTTCCGTCGGCATCGTCTTAAAAAGATAGCTTGGAGTTTTTTCTATGCTGGGGAATAAAGCGAAACGGATCTTGATCCGAAAGTAATCGTTGTTTTATGAGAATCTAAAACATTATCGTACTGTGTGAAAACAAATTCACGTAAATTTCCTACAGTTTCTGAAGTTTACGTGGTCAAGATTATTAACTGAATAATCAAAGCTTTATGGGTTAAAAAACTACGGAAACCAGACTGTTGGTTGAAAAAAAGTAAAAATTCAACTATCCATAGAATAAGCGAAAAATCAGAATATCGCCACAAAATTTCGTTGCTGAAGATGTAATGTTTAAGTACGCAGTAATATGAGTACTGTGACTTTCCAAGTATAAAGATATTTCTGGATTCGTTTCCAAACACGCGTGTCACTTACTGGAGCAGATTTAAGCCTCAGAAGTAGAGAAAATCTTTCAATCAGTAGAGCATTTGCTGAGAAACTTAGAGTAAATCGCTCATTTTATACCTAACATTAAATACATTGAAACTTACGACTTAATCAATCACCTGGGTATCAACTCTTTTAAACTAACCAACACGATTTTTCCTGAATAAAACTATCAACTGCTATTCAAAACTTATTAGTGTAAACTTAAATAATATTATTATAATCAATGTCGGAACTTGAGGGACCTAATTTTGATGAATATATTGATATAAACTCAAGGATAAACGACCAATAATCGATTCTCAAACATCAAAACATAAATGAATTTTAAGATGTAATTTACTTTCCATTAGAATAGTTCAGAGAGTTAAGACTACACAATTGGGACTTATAAAAGCTTTCGCGTGGACGTTCAATCCTGTTTAGCTAATCTTTGTCCTTAATAACATATAAAAATAATAGATAACAAAAGATAACATGGTGGCTAGAGGGTAATGTTTACATTCTGTTTTTAATCAGTAAGGTGGAATTTAATGACTTTAAGTGAAAAAAGGGTCAGATAGATACTTAAACATGACATTCATGGTCAAATAAAATCAGTAGTTAGCCAGCATATCATTTCTTGTTAGATACATTTCACAATAAAAGGTCTGCAACTATACTACTTACTATAAGGTTACCCTCTGTTGTTTGGCTGAATGTGTATGCAAGCCCGAAAAAGTCTCTTTCCAGAAGCTCCAGAAAGTCAAATGTCAGATCAAGTAGCGCCTGACCGCTGCAGCCTCTCTGTAAAATAGAATTCGCTAATTCAATGAGCTTACATCTACTCGGAACGCGACGGCAGTAGAGTCAAGAAGCCATACATTACACGTAATAGTATTTTGGTATGATGAGCGATCCACTTGCTCTGCAGCCTCTACGTTGTACGTTCCGCTGAACTTAAGCGTCATTTAGTGTGGAGGGTTTGTACAGACAATGTATGTCAAAGCATCACATTGCCAGTATATATTAGTCAAAAAAACATGTTGCTCCCTGCTTTATGGAAATGAGTGTTAATTTATTTAGCAAAAGATCAGCATTTTCATTTTAAATAGTATCATATCCATATGATTCCAGAATGATTTACGGAAACATGATATTAGTGTAGCGTTACTCTGTCGAATGTTTGCTTGTTTACATAAGTAGATAAAACAAATCTTGAAAAAAGAAGTTTCTTTGTCTTTTGGTACACTGAGGAGTTATATGTTGTGTCCACTTCTGAATTTTTGCGCTGTGTTCGCCAAAGACAACGTATGTTTTTTCATGAAAGTTATTGGTCACAGATTTCCAAAACAGTGTCTTTTCACAACGAGCTGATTTTATCTAACTAGTCCTTAATAAATAGTGTGAAAAGAATAAAGGACCTTAGATGGTCCTCTGTGAATTTCCTGATATCGAAACTCACCAGCTTACATGCAGTCTATTTTTCTTAGTACGAAACTTTCTATTCTCGAGGTTGTTTCTGAGTAAAGTAAAGATTATGTGGAGAAAGTAACCTGTTTCCATCCAGCTGTGGATTAGTTTGACTCACTCGAATTTCTGAATAATTCACATATTGGTGAACTGAGTTTTACAGCACAGTGTTTCAACATTATGACATATCCCTATGACTTTTCAGGCGGCAGAGGTTTCAGTTTTCTTAATATTTAGCGTTTACTATTTTCAGTTTTCAGATCCTACTCTCCATTATTTTTCTGTTCGATTTTCATGAAACATATCGGCTATCGTTCCGTTTCTTTAACCTGAATTCTTAGAGTAATGTTAAATAACCCCCCACGGTGAAGAGTTGTGTCAGTTTTCTACATTAATGCTGATATCGATAGTTTTGGTTAACACACACTGGCTGAAGCTGCCCGGTCACAAGCTTGAATTACGTCACCATTAAGTAAGCCATATGACACATCTGCTCGCGACAACTAACCAGTAGAGACTCCTCGAAACCTCAACTACCTTTGCATCACTTTATTCCTGACATTAGTTTTACTGGGCTTTAGTGTTCTAGTAAGAAAAGATGTTACGGGAACATACGCTGTCAGTCAGCATCCTCATCAGTAATCAAAAGGCTATCGGGTGCACTGAACGGAAAACTGTAGTCCGGTTGTCTGTCATAACGCACAAATAACGTTCTCAAATAACAACAAATTATGAGAGACAAGCAATTTTACAGGCAAGAATAAAATGTTATGATGCTGGTACATATGACAATGCAAACCACAGTTTTGCAAAATGCGAAAACTTCAGAATAATAACGCTTTTTCAGCAGAAAGGCTGTGAACACGCTGGATTAGAAAGCCCTCAACGTCTAATTCGACACCCCCACTGGACAACTTTCTCTCTTATTAATAATAATATATAAATAAATAAATAAATTTATTCTCAAATAACTACGTTACAAGAGTCACGCCAGTTTACAGGCTAGATCAAATTGTCGCAAATGCTTTCACAATTACTGTAAAGTTATAGCAGTTAAATTAAGTATAAGAGTCATTTTCTGATTGCATATTTACACCATGTCACTGACAGAAACAGTATGATACAGCCTTATTTTCAATGGTAGAGTACAAATAAGGAAGGAAGGTGTACAATAGGTTTATTTGGCGATTTGCCGAGATCAATAGTGAATTTGTTGGGAAAGGTCATATGGAACGCGCTTGATACGAGCTGTGATCCAGACAGTCATGTACCTAGGGTGCATGTTCCCTAGAGTCGCCAAGGATTTCCCACCGTGAATGGGGTTCTGAAAAGGAGAAGAGAGAGAGAAAAAGGCAGCAGTGTTGCAAGTGTATATATATAACCAAAGCACTACTTAACCTGTCATGTTGAAGTAGTCAATACAGTAGTAAGTCAAGATAAAATTCATACTGACCACTTAAATTAAAGTAAATTATGGCAATATAAGAATATAACACACAGATAAAGGAGTACAGCAAAAAGAAGGGAGAGTTGTGCAGTGTCAGGTGGATAGAAGAGAAGTCGAAGTAAGAAGCTGGATTTATGTACGTTGAAATAGAAATTCTAGTTGAAAGAGTAGAGTTTGTAAAAACAAAACTTTGATGAATAAAATCTCGCACTGTCTAACTGTTTATTATTATTATTATTATTCAGTGCCAACCTCTAAGTCATACTGTAAGCGCCTGAGTAAGAATGTTGCGGGTGTCTCGACAGAATAGCGACCTCAGCATAGTTTTGGAAACATGAACCACAGAAGTAGCAAGCGTATAAGAGCAACCTCAGTGTTCACTTGATAGAAATTTGACAGGCTCCTGGGTAAATCAACCAAGTATTCGACAATGTGGAGGTTAATACTTAAGGCAGTGGATGAAGTGTAGATTAAGAAAAAGGGGAGGTGAGCAAAACAGAAAATACCCTTTTTAAAGCTAGGTCATTACTTTTTACGGTAAAAAAATGAAGGCATGTATATTCAGAGACCTCTTTTCCGTATTAAAAGATTGACTGTATACCAGCACTTATGTAGGTTAATGAAGACCAGTCACTAGTAAGATAATGAGTGGGTATATGAACTTATGAATAAAGCATATGCAAAAGAACCAAATTGTTAGAAATTTCGTCAGCTTACTGATTATAACAAGGAAGGCATAGTGATTTGAGGCAATAGTGATAATTTATTCACTGTTTCTTTTTATCTTCATTGCCTGAGGAGTCACGAGTGAGCTCTACTTCGACATGACTGTCCAGATGGGCTTGTTATAGGCTTTCTCAGTAGGAATTGAAACCAGTTCAAAACATGAGTCATAGATGTGATAGGCTTGAAAAAGTAACATCGATATAATTGTTCAGTTGCATCCGGATATATCGTGAGGAGTCGTAAGCAAACACAATGTTCTGCCCCACAGATATGGGCGGATTGAATAGATCACACCACCGTTATGATTGCTGATCTGATACACCACCGTTCCTTCTTTTTCAATGTTAGGCCCTCTTACGTCCTGCTGAATGTTTTAGTAGATGCTTTATTCTTAGCTCCATTTTTGCATGACTTTTTGGAATGCACTTGAGATGATACAATAGTTCCCTTCCAGCAAACAAGAACACAAAATTATCTTGTTTGTAAAAACTAATCGGAAAATATTAAAATTTACAAAATTGATATGCAAGTTAAAACTGTCTTGTAAGTACTTACAAGCTTCAGTTGGTGTGTGAAAAACATATTCATACATGCATCGTATATATTGTACAAATAAAACAATAAGTCGAATAAAAGTGTCTCCTTAAGAGACCAGCTCTAAACCCTTTGTTCTGATTTGTAGTCCTTTGAGAATTGCAATAATCATGGAATGTTCGAGAGTAACGAATTTAACATTCACTCACATAGGCATGAATAAATAAGACGAATCTTAGTCAATGTATCGACATTAAAGCAAGGATAATCGATCAAGCAAGTGGCTGTAGAAATATGATGTGGAAGTTTGGTAGCGATCATTGCTGAAAAAATTGAGAACAATCATTCCTAAGTACAAATACGATAAATGAACATTCGTCAGGTATCGATATCATAAGTTACTGACAATAAGTTTATGACTCAGATAGTATGCCTATGACAGCGTCGCAAACCGTTGCCAGCGTTGGCATAGTCGAAAGCATGCTATTATCAGCATGCATGAGGTTCACTCAGCTGATTAGGTTGATAGTTCGTGTGCATGCGCTTGTCACTATACCATTAACTTACTTAACAGGTTGTAAGATGTTCAAGTCATGAGCAGCTAATTAGTACGTCGGAAGTATCTGTCAGACGATAGTTAAATCGCAAATGCTGGGATTAGTGATTCAGAATACAGTGATGTGATATGAACTGGCTTCGTTACGCACAATGGATACGAGATTGTGCTGTCTGCGTTATTCATGGAGTCTAGTATGCTGATTGGTTCTTCCAGTACATTGAGATCGAGAGCTTCTCTAATGACGTAGCTGTGCACATTGCATTATGTTCGACGTCGGGAATTCTCGGTAATCGTCAGGTATTCTCAGACCATCACGCCGGGCTTACCGTCTTTGCGTCTCACGAGTGGACTCCATTGTGGACGAATGATCGTCTGTACAATGAAATTAATCTGACTGTCCATTTCCGTTTATCGTACTCAGACAAACCCTGTTCGTGTGATGGCAGTGGTAAGAAGGCAAATACGGTGTGGCGGATGAATTTATTTCATGCATTCATTTATGTAGGTAGACTTCAGAACGGAAAGCGTGCAAGCAAAGCGAAGTAGGTTGAAGAAGGCGGGCGAGATTGCTCTCCAGCGTCGAAGCAATAACTTTGTATTTATAGTCAGGCAATAAATAATAAGCTAGACACAAGATAAGCTAGTAAGCATACACACACAATCAAATGTACAATAATCGATACTATAATCGAACTACTGCAAATATAAAAAATGGTTAATACCATGATTTAATAATTTAAACAACAAATCATTAAAGTAAAATGAATGAATGCTGAGATGCGACATTGCCCATACTAGCTCCATGTTACAAACAAGGGAGACACGTTTAGCCTTTTTATATTGGAATATACATCAATGTAGCATATCATACTCCTATTAAGTTAACTAGTGGTACAAATTATTAGATACTGGTCAACTTATAGGTAGTTTGCAGATTGGAATGTTTGGCAGCTGACGAAAGGATATGAAGATAAATAGTGTTGTAAATTCGTGAGTAGGGCCACAAATAAGTAATAAAGCATGGTGTTAGAAAGTTAGTAAATTGGGGTAAATAAGAATTTAACAAATTGTTAATACATGAACAAGAAGGAACTCAAAGTGATACATGATATTTTAATTTTCTTGTGATCTCCAGTAGTTGAGTAGCATCTACGGCCTTTCCGGTTTATCTGTCCACAAGAATTAAAAATTGAATGTGATGCGAAAGATCAGAAGATACCGATGTACATTTAAAAATTGCGGTAACTCCGAGTGTCAGGGCAACGAGTATAAAGCCATAACCTACAATGGTTTGTAGGTTTAGGGGAATATTGTGTCTATCATTTGGTGACACCTGCATGAATGGTGATCGGCGGTGTAATTTATCCATGATTTATTCACTGTTTCTCGGGTCAGTCTAGATGCTCACTGAAACATAAAAGTGTGTCTTGAGGTTTGGCTTCAGTTCTGGGAATATATGATATTTCTCTATAGAGTCTGAGAACAACGTTACTAGTTCCTTGAACCTGGTGATTGTGTAACAGACACCAATAGGGGCTAGTGTTCTGTTCCACGATAAAGTGTACTGTGTTGTAAAGAAATAACAACTTAATGACTTTTATATTTTGCCATTGGTGGCGTATGTGTGTTGTTGCTGAGTCAGTAAGTAGGGGTGTGGTTCATAATCAGGCAGGATATTAAAAATGAAAGGCTACATTTTGCTTTGTAGAAAAGCATTCGTTTGTTTTTCAGCTGTCGGAACCACAAACGTTTTAGGGAAAGGTATTTCCATTTTCCAATTCCGTCTGCCGGTCACAAGCCCGAATAATGGAAGAGAGTTGGGCATGAGGCTCGCGACTCATTCCATGGAAAACTAACTCGCCAAAAAACGCTAACCAGAAAAATCAATTCAACTATTTAAACTCTACCCTGGGAGTTCGGACTTCATTCAGAAGAGTTATAACTTCTCATTATGAAAGCCCATTTTCTTCAGAAGTCACGGGGTTGATTACCTTCTGGACAACCAGAAAAGCCATTCTTTTAGGTACGTAGAATGTTCGAACTATATGGGAGACCGGAAGACTGTTCTAAATTGCTGCAGAGATGTAAACATAAAACATGGAGGTGCTAAGAATCAGCGAGACGCATTCGACACAAGTTGAACTACTGCGACTGGCTTCGAGAGAAGGCTACTTTTATACTCTGTCCATGAAGAAGAAAATGCCTCACACACAAGGAGTTGCACTAATACTGTCTAAACAAGCACTGACAGGATGAAAATCTCATGAACTCAGGATCATCAAAGCATCCTTCAAAACAAAGAAAGGGGACATTACAACGAACGTCATCCAATGCAACTCTCCACTTTATGTGAAGACAAGTTAATGCAAACGCCACAGTATTGTTATTGACTCTGTTTAAAAAATAGGCACAGTGACGGAAGGAGTTTCAAAACGTTGTTGCACACCTGTCCTCAAAAGAAACGTAAATCTCCTGGACCCAGTGCACAGAAGAGCAACTAAATAGGTGATAGGGTTAACGAACAAATCTTGCGAGGACAGACTCCAAAACGTGGAATGATTCTATCATTTATGGGAGAATCAGAGGTGGTTTGATAGTGAAAAACAGCATATTTAGTACGCCAAACCGCCTCAAAAAGAGCATCTTACCAAAACATCACAACTTCACCCCCTCAAGGTAACTTTCGAAAAGTTGCACATCGAAGAGCGAACACCTAGTTTCGTGCCCGGTTTTTCTCACTAATGGTTGTTCCTAATTGAAACGGTCCCACAGCCGCATTGACAACAATCCCATCAGTGAATAGCATTTTGAGGAGACTTAGTAAATACGTACTCACATACGGGTTCCTCTCCTCATTGATTTATTTTTATCTCGCCTACCACTACTGCTTCCTCATGTTTGCTTACACTTTTGTTCTCTCACATAATCTTCAGTACCAAGCGAATAGCCTGTTGATTTGTTCTGCACATTGCAACCAAATGATATCCGGTCCGATGAAGTGATTGTTGCTGGAATCAAGAAACCCTGCTGCCCTAAGATAAACGCACTCACATTCAGAAACAAGAGTCAAATGAGTAAGAATTAGTGAAATAAACTTTCTAGATTATCATCCAATGAAAATTACCAAATAACTGTAACCAAGAGCAAGAAGCAGGAGTAAAGAGATAAACTGGATTTTACTGCTTCGCGAAAAGACATTGAATATTGAAGATTTGAAAATCTTTTTGAGATAAAGAGGGGAAAAGTAGTAAACTCACCATTCTTGCAAATACCTTATTTAAATGTTCATTTCAAAACTGAAGAATATTAAAGCGACCGTGTTCCTGAATCTCAAAACGTAAATGTTTGAAGCTCCGCGTTTTTAGGTCGTTGTTGGCTCTTTTTGTCAAGGTCGTAGTACGGATTTGGTGTTTGACATTTTCAACTGATAGTTGTGTAATGTCGTTTCGTCGTTTAACTTCATTATTCTTCGTAATTGCACCGTTATTTAATATCGCTATTTCAGGCAAACAAGGCAGGAATTGCGTTTCGCGCTAAAAATGCTAAGCAGTTTCATCTCGTAAGTGACATATAATACTGTATAACTTTTCAAATCAATTGAAACTTTTTGGAACATCACTTTGCACATATAGTTAGAATTTTTCTACTCATGCTTTCTTTGTAACAGTTCGTACGATGTATTTTCCAAGACAGTAGTGACCATTGACTCACTTTTCAGATGGCGGCATCGTAAATATCGGGTGCTAGAATGTGTTTTTGTTCCGTGTACGTGCCTACCTAGTTTATCAAACATCTGCCTTTCATCTCACTGTTGACCGTTGTGACCCGTAGAACCCAGCTTATGCGTAGTCTCTTCCTCTCCCAGGAGATGTATGGCTGTAATATGTTTTTTGACCCTCTCCTCATGGTAAGAAAACAAATTATGGTCCTGTCGACATCTACAGCATTTGTATTGATTGAGTCTACCAGGTTTTTCCCACACATTGGTATCAACATCTCGTGACGTTTTTTAAAATAGTCTATTTAAGTTTATCAGTAGTTGGTGGTTGTGTGGACTATCCTAGTCGTAACAATCCCAGTTTTCAGACCCCAACTTTGTATTCGTATTAACAACTTGCCAGTTTACCTTTACAAGGGGCTGGAATCCATGTACTGGTTCTGGTCATCGGGGATTCTCATTTTTGGACGGATTAAGTCATGTTGCTATAATCATTCGTGCAAGCAAGATCGCAAGGTTATTTTTACTTTAATTTTACTTACGCTTGTTAACCCGAATAGACCGTCGACCGGCATGCAGGGTTATTATGAAGTATTATTAATAATTGGATAGGATCTTGGGTGCTAATTAGTCCTAAGGCGAATACACTGTTTGCATAACCACTCACTTTGAAGGAGCTTAGAGAAGGTTGCAGATAATGTCATCAATGTCTATCAAACATTCTGTTCCAACTCACTGTTCTTGTAGGGGAGTCCTGAAGGAGCAAACTAAAAAAGTTTATAAATTCCACTGTTTCTAGGTAAGTCGATGCTCTACATATTCCCCTGAATGTCCCAGAACCTTTAGTAGCTACTGATAAGTCTAGTGAAACAGTCGAGTAGGTAGTAGTACCAAGGTTATTTTTCGGATACCTGTCAGATCGATTGATGCTACTTAGCCTTCAACTTAGATGGTTCGGCAATGTGTTACATAGATCCTCCACATGTCAAGATTGTAACTGAAGTAGTTGATTAGAAGATAACTAAGAGCGTCCATACCAAGTGACACACCTTGGAAGTTCAGGCATTGTACATCGCATGTCCGAATGTACTCCAACTTGCTAAACTTTCTATGGGCTTTACAAGATTACAAAAAATCGTGGTATTCTTGGTTTCTTAAGTGAAATGAATGCAACGGTAGTAAGAACAGTTGGCTTCTTTGCGTCGAAATAATCAAAAGGTGGAATACCAACCTCTTTGAAATCATGGTTTCCAGTACGAAAAGTGTGTTCTGAGACCGTTGATAAGATTTGTAGCTCGAATGGATAATTTTGGTGAGGTTTCATTCTTTGAACTGGGTAGTTTAGTCTAAAAGCTTTTATTGTTATTCTGAACGTCGCAATGATGTTTTTTTTATCTATTACGCATCTCAGAGTACGTTATCGAATTCGGAGCTGAAAAAGACTATTACCCTCATGCCTGGTGATGGTGTATGGCCAGAACTGTTTGTTTGTGTGAAGTCGGTTTTCAAAGAATTCCATGTACCTATTCAGTTTGAGGAGGTGGATTTCGGGTAAGCGATAAATCGGTAGTAAATTTGATTTTCTTCCCAGATTTAAAAACAATGTAGATCCGGATGGTGGTCTTCATAATGTTATCAACTCTGTTACTAAAAATAAGGTTGGTCTAAAAGGAATTGTCCGTACACCGATTGAAACCCAGGGATCTAGTGCACTCAATCTAAGAATGAGGTGTGTTTATATTTTTGACCAAGCAAATTTGTATTTTCACAGTTTATTTATTTTTATGTCGTATTTAGATTCTTGGAACCTGTAATTCTATTGCGAATAGTAAATTGACAACAGCATGTTTGCTTATTTTTTCCTGATTATCTATTATGTGAAACAATTCTTTATCCTAATAACCAAAAGATAACAAATATTCAGTTCAATAAGGCATTTTTGACTAGAAGGCATCTTAAATATGGACTCGATTATTTGGTTGACTTCTTAATCTGAGAATTTGCCAAATAAATAGGAATTGTAAACAGGATGTTTTTCTTCCGTAGTTCTTCATTTTGAGATGTTTAATTGAAGTTTTATCATAACTTTTGAATTCGCCATTCGTGTGAAATGATTTAATTCCTCTTTCTGTGAATACATTTATATGAATATTGTAAGTATATATATATATATATATATATATATATATATATATATATATATATATATATATATATATATATATATATATATATATATATATATATATATATATATATATATATATATATATATATATATATATATATATATAATTTCAACTCGTCTTTTAAACTTTTAACAGGGTTTTTTAAAATAACCAAAAAATTTTTTAAAATTTTCACAGCGTTTTTTAAAATTTTTTTGAAAAAATAAAATAAGAACTACTTTTAATTAAGATCTTCTTTAGCGATCACTTTTAAACAATTGCGACGTACGTGTCTTGAATAACCTTGTAAATCATCCCTGGTTAATTGATTTACAGAATTTAGTATTAGATTTATAAAAGATTCGTTGAATCCGCTCGCCAGAGATCTTCTTACAATGGATTTAATTTTCGAAAACGCGAATTCGATTGGGTAAGCATGTAACTATAGGGAGACAAAAACAACAAAATTGATAATATCACCGCATATCTTCTTATTTGATGGTTTGCCTGTTTTGTTCTCAACTCGCGATTCCTTTTTATACAACCTTATAATATTTGTAGCGGCCTGATAGTTTACATCTGTAAGAAATGCCGCATCCTTGATGCTGTATCCATCTTCAATAACTTTTTTATAAGGCTTTTTCTTTTTTCATTCGAAATCAAGTTGTTTTTTCTATTTATTTCTGACATTCTAAGGATTACAAAAAATTTTAAAAAACGCTGTGGTTATTTTAAAAAACGCTGTGAAAATTTTAAAAAACGAGTTGAAATACTTATATATATATATATATATATATATATATATATATATAGCAGTCTAGTTTTATGGATACCTAATATCTTTGAAGTACTCTTAGTAGTTGCTGGTTCACCACAATTTTAGGTAAATTTATTGGTCCCTCAAAGCTTTTCGCTTGCTATCGTAAAGTTATTGAGTCTTAAGTACCATTACCAAAGCATGCGACTGTCTTTTTAAGGTAATTGACAATATTCGTAGCCCAAGATGAGCATGTTAAAGTTGTGATGCTTGAAAGCTCAATAACCACTCCATTTTTCTATCGTCATATACTTAGATACCCAGTGATATAATGTTAAGGAACAAATATCTGATGAATTTTTTTACATATCACCGAAATGTCATCGTATTCCAGGTTATAACCATAATAATCACTAATCTTGTCAATTCGGTACTTACGATAGCATTTAAATCTTTCAGAAACTTCCATTTATGTCTTTAGTATCACAAAGCAATCAAAGAAATATTTTTGTTTAGCTTTTCTTTATGATTCCACACCAATACTATAGCTTTATAAAATACATGATATTATAATCACAAGTTGTGAATTATTTTCAAAAATCACTTTTCAGGTATTGGTAATAGTTAACTAATCCAAGTTGATATTTAAAAACGGGAATGAGGTTTTACTTTTCGTCCTTCGCATTAAAGAGAAATAAATGATTGTTTCACTGGAATTCGTTGTTGACACTGATTACACACAATGGGAAATAAGAGGAAAATGGTTTTAGATTTATATCTTTTAAATATAAGCAGCCTCATTCATTACAGTTCATGCAATTTAGATGATGATTAATATGTTTGTACACTGCAGTTACAACTGTGATTGTATTATATTTGATTTATTTTTCTTGAGTGTGCTAGGTTAGCATCTCTTTTTATTTCGTTTGACCTGAACTAATTTTAAGCTGAATATTCTCTCGTAGTATTATAAAAAGCTGTATGTGATCATAACATAAGTTTGGCATGAATACCATCTCAAGCTTAACCGTAATCCATTTGCATTGGTTATTTGGCTGTTCCGATTGATACTTAAGACTGCAATTGATCAGTCTCTTTCGATATATATGCATCTTATGCGCATTGCCTCGACAGTACCATTAAGTTACAGCCCGATTCTGGTAAACCGTAATCGTATTTCTAACTTAGGAAAAAGTAGGATTGCTAAAATGTTACTGTGTCAGTAAATCACGTTTATTATTGTCTTGTTTATTTTTTACAGAAAAGCTTTGGATTTGTTTGCCAACGTTGTTCATATTCGTACGTTGAAGGGAATCCCAAGCTTTCATCACAATCTTGATATAGTCATCGTACGTGAACAGTTAGAAGGAGAGTATTCATCACTGGAACATGAATCGGTTAAGGGGGTAATAGAGTCTTTAAAAATTATAACACGACATAACTCTGAACGAATCGCAAAGTTTGCGTTTGATTATGCTGTTCGCAATAAGCGTGGAAAAGTTACTGCTGTCCATAAAGCTAATATCATGTAAGTTTTCACGTATATTTGTGTATTGTTTATTTCTAAATGTTTTCGTAATCCTAACTGGCCAGTTCTCAAAACTTGATTATGTCTTTTCCGTACCATTAATAAAGACATGGTGATAAGTGTTATATTTTGAGATGCATTATGATTAATCTGAGTTGTTAAACGGTTCAAAGATGTCTCTTAATACTAACTGGATTTGAGCGTCTTAGAGAACCTGATGAATAGTCATCGCAACAATTTAACAATTATTACCCTCCGCGCAATCAAAGAGGGGAAACAGAAATCCAGGTAAACCTTCGTATTTCTAAAAGTCAAAGTTGCAGTACAATAATTCTGACTATATTGCAACAGCTATAACTTGGGGATGTCAGGAAGATAGGAAGCTAAAAGCAGAAATGGCTAATCAGATAATAGCAGATGTCAGTGTGTTAATATGAAGAGAAAGAATCTATCTACGTCCTCGTTCGTTCTTACCAGTAATTGTGGCTGGTAGCTAAATTTATTTCAGCCAGTCAGCTACAACGTAGAACTTCCTACGTACCTACATCAGTTCAAGTTGCCATACCACAAACATACAAGGATCCCATTGTCAGTTCAAATCCCATGGTATTAAATGTAGTAGAAGTATTAACGGTAATCAAAAAGTTTGGTGATCAAAGATATCGTTTGAGTAGTATATCTGAGAGGAATCAATTTCAAAAAAAGAGGGAGAAGAACGGTCATGTGGAATTCAGGAGATTAGGATTTGAGAGGATGCTAAGAATGGATGCACGTGTGCCATTGCAAATGGTTTAGAGCCATGTCACCCAAGATCTCTAACCATCGGTTACTATCATCTCGCGGACCCTGATCAGGTAGTCTACATCCACCAACATGACTCAATTCACTTGTCAGTGACTCCATGGATTTGTGCCATATTTTGTTTCGGTCGCCCCTAGCTTCCTTCAAATCCACTCCACCACAAAACAGCTCGTCGAGGTAGTCGGCGGTTGGGCATTCGTACTAAATGTCCCCACCACGTCGACTGATGAAGTTTTAGTACTCCATCTATTGATTTGCCATCCCTACCTAGTATCCGTTTCGTAACAACAGCGTTGTGTACTCGATAGTCCCAAGATATGCTAGCAATGCTTCGGAGACACTCATTATCGAATACCAGGAGTAACATTACCTTCGTCTGACTTTTCATGGATGGACCTCCTACCAGGAGACGCGCTTGTTGGCTTAGAGTATGCCGATGACGGTGCAGTCTTCTGATTACCCTAAGCAACAATGCAAGCATGCTCGGGAAACTCTTAGACTGGATCCCGGCAGACAGTCGTCGTGAAGTTAGGGAGACTCGCTGTCGCCTTTTTGTTGTCTTTGCATACGCTCCCACTGACTTCAGCTCAGATGAGGTAAAAGATGAGTCTCACAGAAACCTCTCTCACCTTCTTCAAACAGTTAAGCGCTCTGATATAGTAATAATGGCTGGTGACTTTTATGCTCAAGTAGGTAAACTAAGTATAAATGACGCCTGGGTGGATCCTTTGGTGTCATGGCTAATCGAACAGATAACGGAGACTGTCTGCTGCAGCTATGCTCAGATAATCGCCTATTTCTAGCAAAAACTGACTTTAGGTATAAAGAAAACATCTCTTGATCCGGGGACCCCCGAAGCCGACCCAACGATGGATCTAACTAGACCCGATTGCTATCAGCCATCGGTGGAGAGACCTGAGAGGCTCATTCTGGAGCACTTGTTTAGACTCAAACCATGCTCTAATGCGAGTGCGTATTTGTTTGCGTCTCTCTGCGACTTACTGGACGTAGGAAAGACACCTCAAGGAAACCTCTTTGGATACGACTTAATGATTGCTTAGCTAAGAACATATTTCAGTAACAACTAGGAAAACAGTTTTGTTGCGACGTAAGTGATGCCTACTCTGAGGCAGCTCGAAATGATGTCCAGAAATCTGTGGAAACAGCAGTGATATCTGCTAGAAAGGCAAACCATAAGGTTAGGGCGAAGCTGTGGATTTCAATAGCATCTATCGAACTGATAGATGCTCGGAAACTCATCCTATCTGGCTCGGAGTTCGATAAGTAGCGGAGTCAGCTGAGGCGTATGCTGATAAAAATCCTACTCGGTGATCGAAAACATAGGCGGCAACGAAAAAAAGAGAGATAGAAAAGGAAGTGTCAATAGCTAACAGTGGACAAACTACTCAAGGAAACCGGTATTAGGAATGTTAGTGAGGCAGGCTATCTAGTAAGAAACATTATGCATTCTCAGTCTAGGAGATTGGATCGATGGACAGAACACTTAAGGGATCAGTCCAACTGGCCTTCAGCGACAATTCGGTGACCCACGATCTACAACCAACCTGAATGGCGAATCGATGTGACTCCCCCGACTCTTAATGAAGCTGAGAAAGCTATAGGAAATCTGAAGCGAAGAAGAGCGGCAGACCCTGATCGATTGACCCCTGAGATTTTAAGTATGGTAGTCCAGTTTCAGCAGCTAGACTGACTGAGATCTCAGGTAGACTTTGGGAACTGGAAGTAATCCCACCTGACTGGTCTCGATCCCTCATTGTCCAAATTTATAAAAATGGGCAAAAGTCCTTATGTTGCAATCACAGAGGAATCAGTTTAACTAATGTAGTGTCTAAATTTTTAGCCTCAATAATACTTAAATGCCCAACTAGAACTCATGAAGAGCAGACTGGAGAAAACCTGACTGGTTTTAGACCTGGACGTGGCTGTATAGACCACATATTCGCACTACGTCAAGTTCTAGAACACAGACACATTTAGGCGTCCGACCATAGTTGTCTTCCTGGACCTTAAAGTGACATTTGATTCAGTTCATCATGAGGTTCTATGCCAGTGTCTGTCATTGAAAGGTGTACCGGAGAAGTACGTTAACCTTACGCAGGCTCTATACCACCCACTATTAATACAGCAGAGCGCCTAGCTTTTTGAAGGAGGTCCGATAGCTTTCTACGAAATTCATCTTCTACCTCCTCAAGGCCGTAGTCAGTGGGAGCGTAGGCAGAGATAACGCAGAGAAGAGTTCTTACTGTCCCGTTTAGTCGAACAGCACACAAGCGACTATTTACTGGGATCCAGTCTAAGAGAGCTAGTTCTGCCCTAGGAAACAATGCTATACCTACACCAGCAAGGCCCCGGGAAGCAGCAGCAGGGCTTCCAGGTACACGAAGAGTAAATCAAGCTGGTTTTTTATTTTGACATGGTGAGTTCAAATGAATGACGCTACTCGGATCGTGTATGCGCGTTTCGGAGACGCAGCATACATCGATAGCGCGAGATTCTAGAGTCCTAGCTAAGGAAGCGTGTTGGCCTATTCGATACAATGTTCGAACATTAGAACCTGAAACATGTAGTTTAGAACGGGGTTTCAGAAGACCAGGAATTAGGTTTCATGTGCTGGCATTGTTTACATTAGTGGTGCTGGGTGATAAGTGTATTCGAAAAGGGTGATTCGTGGGGATAGGAGAGATGTTAGGGGGTGTAGGAAGGATTTGACTGTGACAAAGTTTATCTCGTGTGCTGTTATAGGTATGAGGCGGATTTCCCTTCCAGGCTGCTCACACCGTGGAAGGGTGTTTCCTAAGGAACTTGAAAAGGAAGTTGGATTAGTGTTGGTCTTAGCGACCTGGAAGCGTGACCACGGAACCCAATGGCCAATTGCTTGAGACCGGCTCCATACGGCTTTTTCGTGTGTAGTTTATGAGGTCTTAGTCACGCTCTTCAAAAAACCCCAATATATGAGACAGAAATCTGTACAGTACTACAAATTGTGACATTTTTATGGTTGATCTTTTCTAACCCGTTCGTTCCATTGTGAGATGTCAGCATCGCTGTAGATGGTGTTTGTCCGAGGGAACATCTTAGCGCTGTCACACCTCTTTACAGTTATAAGTACAACTTTTTCCCCAGACCTTCAGTTGCTGCTTACAATCTTACCGTTTTCCAGTCGACCTGCCTGTCATGGTAGGACCTAAAGGTACCTATGTTACAGTCAATATAGCTCGGTTAGGTAATCACGATAGTCAAGCCCCACCACCACGTTACGGTAGCAACTAAGGTCGGAATCTAAGTTTATTTAATCAGAAACTAGTCAGGTACTTGAAAAACCATCTCTATTCATACCCATACGGGCAGCTAAAATAAAAGGTGGATCGCTAACCCTAAATCGTCATACTTAGACAAGGCGCGTCCAGGAACACTAGTGTTCATCAAAATGGGTTACAAAACTTTATATCCAATCCAGTAGTTTACATAAATTTGATGATCTTAAGAGAACGGATAGTATGTGTAATGAACAATCAAATCTCCACAACGAAAATATCTTGCTCACAGACATCCGATTGTTGCAGTCCATGGGTCTGAACAGTATTACGATTATTATACGTGGAGATATGAAGTAAAGTAAACGGGTTTTAATGAATCTTAAACTTGTGTAATATACACCTTTAAAACGTACCTGTTTATTGAATGTCAATATTTATCTAAATAAAAGCTGATTTAATATATTACTTCTGTATTCTCAATCCTTCTCTTTATATTTAGGAAATTAAGTGATGGTTTGTTTCTTGAAACGTGTCAAAAAATAGCCAAACTTTATCCACACATTCAGTTTAACTCAATGATTATAGACAACTGTTGTATGCAACTGGTCAGTAATCCTGAACAATTTGATGTGATGGTTATGCCGAACCTGTATGGTAACATTGTTGATAACCTTGCTGCTGGTTTGGTTGGTGGTGCTGGAGTTGTACCAGGTGTATCGTATAGTCATGAAGTAAGTTTGCATTTCAAATATTTATTCAGTTTTATATATTTTGTGTGGTTGGTTGTTAGTCATTATGGCAGTTCAAAGAGTATCAGGAAGCGGTCATTAGGATTTTATATTTTAGGTGGTGGTAATATAGGACTCTAAAAGTGAATTCACAAATCCTTCTAAGCTTGTAAACAATTTATTCAGTAAGATGACCGTCACTGCCTAAAGCAACCTTTTATGATATTTGGGAAATAAATCCAAATGCTTCTAAATAACGAATCCTTAGGGTTCTTTCAACCAATAAAAGTTTAATCTGATATTTTGTTAACTACGGAAGCATATTGTACATAGTTATAGACGAATTCCAGTTATTATTATGAACTCAAACATGACGTTTGTTTACGTTCGCTAAGGATTTTGCTGAGTATGTAACTTTTATAGAGTAAAATTAAGATTTCTTCTAATTAAAAGTGGAATAGTTTGTGTATAAAAAAAGTACTTACTCAAATAAAGTATCCAAAGATATTACAACGTTTGCTTTTTAGTTGATTTATTTTTATTCTTAGGCCTTACTGATGAGTATGCTTACAGCGTACTCAAAGTTTGTCTAATGGACTGAATTTTGCATAGAAATATCGGTTAGTAGTCATTATAATTTATTTGTTTACTTATTGAAGCCTTAAGTATGGGCGTATTTCCTTTAATAAAGATATATGAAATAGTAGTCAAAAATCAGAATAGTATAGTTACAATATTTACTTCATATTGTATTCAGTTCTCTATATTATTTCGACAACAAAGTCAAAGAACCGTAGGACTTTTATTGATTTCTTTGGATAAAATCATTCGCAAATTCGATGTTCGGATATTTTCAATGATTTAGTTCGTTTGAAATTTTATTTATTTATTTTCTAGTTTGCCGTTTTCGAACCAGGTACTAGACATTCATTCAGTTTGGCATCAGGCAAGGACACGGCTAATCCAACAGCAATTTTATTAGCCAGTTCAAACCTATTGCGTCATATTAATTTAGAAAGCTTTGCCAATAAAATTGAATCGGCTGTGCTCAAAGTTATTAAATCCAATAAGTCACTAACTTCTGATGTCGGTGGAAATTCATCTACAACGCAGTTTGCAGAAGCTGTTATGGAACAAGCTCATGTTTCTTAATTTTATCATACTTTACCTTTGACTTAAATAATCGTTAATGAGACATATGCTCTCTGTATAGCTGTCATTAGTGTAAACCTAACTTTCACTGATGACTAGTATCCTAGTTTCTCTGTAATGGATATCAAATAATCAGTCAGTAGATGTTCTGAGGTCATTTGTGATTATTATTATTATTATTATTATTATTACTGACAATGAAAGTCACTGTCCTTATGTTTAACGGTTACGCTTGTAAATAACTGAGCATTTTGGGAAAAATTTTCTTTTTGAGACATTCTAATTTGTTTATGGAATTGCATCATTGTCACTCATAGTTGATCGAAAGTCGATAACTTTTTATTTCATATATATATATATTTCTATATCCTTTTACAAATAGAAAAACTATTAGTAGTTTGAGAAATTGCGTTTATTATTATTAAATGAATAAATGTATGGGGAATTTAATGCTGAATCTAGTTTGTCAGTTCAGGGAGTTGAAAGAAATGGATACCTGGATGAATCTTTTTCGATACCACTTGGATAAAAGTTCACGAATTGAATTGCTATTTAGATTTATTTAAATCTTATGCATGTGAATATATTGAATAAACACAATCTAATGAAAGTATATTTTTACCAGTTATTGGAGATGGCCTACAAAATATTAGATAAAATGGTTTCATACATAGCATTCCATTACATGGTCTAGATAGATATTGGACAACTCAGTTGTGTAGAGATTGGATAGTGCTCATATTGTGATTGAATTTTGATCAGTTTTAGTGAACACCAATTAATGAGACTAAATGTGCACCCTAGATACCACTGCTAGCTATACTTTATGTATCCGATATAAACTATAATATTAAGTTTTGAAATAGAATTTTAGTTTTGTTTTATCCCTCGAACTAAGTGATTTATTTGGGGAGCTTTCATCTTCACTTTGACGAACATCATCAGTGCTTCATCATGTATAGTAGAGTATCACGAAATGCATCCACCTGAGTTGCAAAGTTTCTTTATCACTTTAAAAGATAATAAGTAGCATTCAATAAGCGAGCCCTTAAATCTAATCATAGTTATAACAGTGGGTAACAGTTTATTGTGCACGGTGAGAAAGATTTTTGACTAGTAGTTGTAATATGATTCACTTATTTCTAAATATATTACTTTGTGTGACCTATCATTTGTATGAATTCTAGACTTATAAACGCCTAGACTCGTCGGTATACATTTTGATAATGAGGATAGATTATATTGTTAACTGCTAACATCTGCAAGACTAATTTCTTTGCTCAAATGCTATCTGAAAAACAAAAATCAATGATTGCAGTTTTGGTAGGTTTCCCGGACAACACTATTCTCTACTTGAAGATATTATGTGAAGTTCATGGCCACGATACTTGCCTACAGTCATTCTTTATCATTTCAGATGACACAATATCGTTAAAACTATTGATTATATCAGTCAGTTACAACGTAGAACTTCGTACGTACGTACATCAGTTCAAGTTGCCATACCACATTAGCACACAGATCAAATTATCAATCGAAATCCCATAGTAGTACAGGTTTTTGAAGTATTATCAGTAATCGGAGAGAGCAAATCGGTCACAATCAAATCCTTTCCAAAAACATTTTCATTCTATGTACTATTTATGCTGAATATAGTTGGACTACTAACAAATTGTAAGTACCATAGTGAGTAAAATATGAAGTTCTATTCGGACCACACAAACTAATAATCATAAATAGAAAATGGAATGTTTGATCGGAAGGACTGTGGTGGAAAAAAGAATATTGATAATAAAGTTGACCAATAGCTGGACGATAGTCTGAATATATGTTTTTATCGAGGAATTCATAGTGATAACTGTTTTGTAATACAAATAATCCATTCCTACCCAAGTTCGTGAAATTTTGAGGCCATACTACAAGGAAATATTTTATCATAGAAATTATGTCCAAAAGTATCAAATCCTTGAATATTCACACCATAAACTGATATTAGATAAAAGCATCAATGGAAACAGGTTACGTTTGATGGATTCGTCATTTCACTTTGAGATCCCTTGGTTAATGCCAACTTATAACTTTTCGAATCCAATTACGCTGTTTCATTTAATCTCAACGAGTTTCAATCTGTACTTTTGTGAAGAAATTTCTTTTACTCTATAACTGTTTTGTTTTTGGTTGTTTACATATATATATATATATATATATATATATATATATATATATATATATATATATATATATGCTGGTCGGTCGCCTATCTGTCATCGAGGGTAACGGGCGTAAGTAAGTAATATGTACATGTTAGGCTATTACTACTGAAGCTATGGGTTACATTATTTATTCATAAAACTGTTAATATTTTGTGTTAGAGTAGCCCGAAGGTATTTATCACTCTTTCCAAATTTCGAATTCTAATATCCTTACTTTGTATCTTTTGTTTTTCTAGTATGTTCGTTTTCTTTTCATCATTTATGCTATTAAACCAGCTGTTTTGTTTTGCATCTTAATAAATGTTTCCCTTGCTAAGTAGATTTGAATTATGACGTATTGAAGTGATGTACATTTAAAATTCCAATAAAACAAAGCAGAAACATTCATGTTAAGACAATTTATTACACTTTTGAGGATTTATAACATATTTAAAAGGAAGAGATAAAAACTGTTTCATTATGATGTCTGGAAACAAAAACAACAATTAGTCTATCTCTAACATCCCTGAATATTTGATACAATTTGTTTAATATGTAATGAAAAAGTCTTTAAAGAATAAATGCATGTGAAACATAACGTTCCACTTACTTATTTACATAATAATTTCCAGAATTTCACCTCAATACTTTGATTATTCAAGTTTTTCTTGTTTGAATAACCAGCAGTTTTTATTTGCTGTCCGTTCTTTAATATGATCACGGGATGTTTGAAAATCCTAAACCATATTCAATCCTAACACTAATCTAGAATGAAAAGATTCTCTTCCAGTTTCTTATTTTTATTGCCGTTTGAAAAAAAAATTTATATTGAACTGGGAGTCAATCGTCTTTGTGGGTAATTTATCAGAAAAGAACTAAACTTAAACGCTGATAAATGATCTCTGAGGAATTGTAAGTAAAGTAGGAAAATGTAGTGGTAGAGAAAGCTTTTACAGAATCAAATTCATTCGGAAAATTTACTTAAATATGGTGATAAGCTTTCGAAAAACCAATTATTGATTTCTGGTTAACATCAACTTGAAGAATAGGTTAAGGTAGAAATCCGAATAAGAGAACATAATTAAAGAATGCGCTAACAACGCGGTTAGGGGTATTATAAAAAATTCGAATTTCTTTGACATAAACCAATCGAACTTTTCTAATCATCTGTCAATTCAAACATTTTTTGTAGCATATCATCAGATTTGTTCGTATTGAAAATGCTTTTTTATACAGTATGGCTTATCGATTTTACTTAGGAATTGAAGTATGATATTTGGTTATTTAAGATGCTTAATAATCGTTGGTTTATTGTTTATCTTCCCAAGTTTTGACCAACCTCCTACTTTGAAACACTAATTCAGTCTATTGTCATTTTGTTACCATTGTTACAGCTGTAATCTCACTGTCATTTTCTACTTACTAAATTTTGTAATTCGTTTTATTTTACTTATAAATTAAAAGAGAACTAATTCAATTACATAATCTTATTGATGCTCGATTTTCGTAGGACCACGGTTGACTTTATCGCCGTGCATTTTCTCAACTACGTCGAGTCTAGTTGGAAAATAAAACGTGAACTATTGGGAATTTCGGTTACACAGTCTTGAAATTCAATGATGATGTTAAAAAATTAAATATTATCCAGTTCTCAATGTATAACAATTATGCGTGAAATATGGCGACTAAGCTAAGTAACTGAAAGCAGAAGTGTATATGATTTGATATACAATCATTAAAAATGGTCATGAAAATTAGTGAATTCGATTCGGTTACTCGCCTCAGAATTTCATCTATCAACTAGTTGTAAGGAAATGTGTAAGTAACACCTAACATTTGGGTTTTAAATAATATAAATCTTAATCAGTAGAACATTATCTGTGTATTTTTAGTCAAATTAAAATGATGCCGAACAATAAGCCTTGTTGATTGATTTTCGAAGCGACTAAAATATTTAAGTATATGAATAAAATCATATAATAGGACACTCTTTACTTTAGACCCTATTGTGCTAATCAGGTCGACTGAAGAGTTGTAAAACTGAAAACAACAAATTCGAAGTGTGAATGAGAAATCATATTTTCAACTATACAGGCGCGTAATGGTATTACGACGTTTTCTTTGAAACAACTAATATATGTTTCACCCCTCTTCGATCACAAACACAGCGCACGTCGCCTTGTCCCATAGATTTCATCAGGGAAAGTCCGGGCTGACGCCAAGAACCCACAAAATGATCATATGTAACTGGTCATATGCAGTTGTCCCTTGGGTTGTATGGTTGCACTCCTGTGCTGTGAAGACTATTACCAAGTTCAGTTTACTTTTTTGGTCCATCAACATTCTTCGATGATATGAACAACCTGGAAGTGACAGTCACTCTCATACCTCTAACAACGTAGAAGATCATATTGTTCTATTCATCACAGCACTTAACGCGCATCATCCATCCTAATATGTTGAAAGACTGAAGTGATACTAGTAATTTGGAAATTAATATTGAGGTACTGATTACCCATATTACAATTGTCAGTGGATTTTAGCGTTTACTATCACAAGGAAATTAACTCTACAAGATATAAATCATAAGATCAAAGTAAAAGTTCGATTTTTTTTTCAGACAGAAATGAAAAATCTTTATTGTTTATTAAATATTCTTAATTTACATTTGGAAACTACAAAGGTTTTTGAAGATAACATCAATAATTCTTAAACAAACTTTTATTTCAATTTCATTATATTTTAATACACCTATCTCTTTGTATGGATTAGAAACTTAAGTGTCTCTTTAACCAACCAGGTACTTTGCAACTGCAATCCCTCGCATATATATAGATGCATAAAGATTAATTAAAGGTATCATTCATTAAGATTTGTATCACAGGGAGTTTGTTTTGTGGTTGTGGTTGTGTTGCTGTCCCTTGCATTCACAACCACACGCCTACACATGCACGTCTACAAATGCACACAAACACAGGCTTATACAAATTTACAGACAAAGTAAACAGTTGTACATATCATTGAAACTATTTGTAAACAAAAAATACAACAATCAAGAAAATAATTAAGAGAGGAGAAATTAGGCTCTTCTAAATAAATGCAACTCACACTAGTACGCAAAACGTATATATATAGAAAGTATGAAATTATTTAGTTATGATAATGGATAACCAAATGAAATCATTGGCCTCAGTAAACAAATGTAAAATTCAGAAATTTTCCTCACAAAATTAATCTCTGTTTATCTACGTAGATATGGATACATTTATTTGTTTATTTCATTTGTTTTGAAAAGTTGTTTATCTGTGGCATGTTTGAAGTAAACATTGTTGTACTTTTAATTTATTGAGTTTTACTACAAACAGGGCCTTGCCATACACCTCCATCACCGTCAGCTATGGTCATATAACTGGTATGTTGTCCTTTCTGTTTGTCAATTGGTTTATTAATTTGTGACTGATTATTTTTAATTTCTTCATTATCACAATCTGTTTGATCATGTTTACCATTATTATCATTATTGTTATTATTATTATTATTGGTCTGATATGTGTAACGTGTTGTAACTTTTGATTGTGTTTGTCGTCTAGACGTTAACAATGATGAATTCATAGAGCACAGTTTACTGTTACACTGAAAAATAGCTTTAAATTCTTGTCGAAAATTATTATTTAACCAAGCATATAAAAAAGGATTATAAACAGCTGAACTCATTGCAATCATATGGCATAATATAAATGTATGATGAAAATAAACAGAACCTTCCGCTTTTTCACCGATTATATCTACAACTATCCAAAGAACATTTAATGGTATCCAACAGACAACAAATATAACAACCATAGCTATTAACATACGATTTGTACGACGATTACGTTTTACTTCAAGTTCTTCTTTTTGACGACTTTTACGTCCATAACCAATTTTTGTTGAACCTCTTGAACGTAGGACACAACTGACACGATAATAACATATTGATATAATCATACAAGGTGCAACAAATTGCAGAATAAATGTAATGACTGTGTATATCTAAAATATTGAGAAAGAAAGGAAATATTTAAATGAGTAAATTCTATGTTATCAGTTTATATATATATATATATATATATATATATATATATATATATATATATATATATATATATATATATATATATATATATATATATATATATAGCGTTATAGTCCGATAGCCTAATAGTTAAAATCGTCATTGATTGATCGTAGATAATTCGATCTCAAATGGATGGTAATATTTTGTTGAAAATATATATGGGCAATCGATTTGTAAAAACGATGCCTACATGATGACCAATCTAATTTAAAGCTATTTTCTATTCGTTCAGAGAATGTTGCAACTGACATTTAATGCCCCTTCCCTCCATTGATACACTTGTGCTACCCATATCTATACGTTGAAAGATTGTAACATTTCTAGATTAGTAAGATTAATAATCTTAATTTGTAATATTTTTGTTGAATTTTTTACATATTGGTTTATTTGAAATCATGAATGTTAGACCGTCATTAGAAACCTGAAAGTACTGGACGGCCGTTTCGTCCTGGTATGGGACTCATCAGCAGTGCGCATCCACACGTCCTGCACTTCGCAGGAGTGAAGTTCAGCCTGTCCGGGTGTATACAGTAACTACCGACGACAGTGTATGAGGTTGCGCAAGACCGTGAATTGATCGAAATTAGACATTAACACCGTTAGATACCGGCTCATTGGTCCAGAGGTTAGGCGTTCGCGCACAAGACCAAAGGCCCTGTGTTCGAATCCCAACGGGGTGCAGGAGTCGTGGATGCGCACTGCCATTGATGAGTCCCATACCAGGACGTAAAGGGCCGTCCAGTGCTTCCAGGTTTCTAATGGTGGTCTAACATTGATCGATTCATGATATCCAATGTGTAACTTGACAATCTTCACAACCCCGTAATAAAATATTGGTAAATACCGAGAGATAGCATACTACTGATAAACAATAACAGAATAACTCAAAACCTCTGAACCCTTTCTAAACATTCAATCTTAAAAATTAGCGTATTATTACTGTTTCTATCATCAAAATAATCCAAACTGTGCTGTCTCTACTTATTTATCATATGGAAATGATATTTTATTTGAATCGCTATCATTAATTATATTCTAACAGTATGAATAATAAGTCATGAGTATATATATCTGTATATATATAAATATTTATATGCATATCAGATGACTCTCCTGATACCATCCTCCTATTCGAATGATAATTATTCATATAAATTATTACAGGATACTATATTGCGAAAAATTGTAAAATTCTATTTTCTAAAGTCATATTTTCTATTCCGGTTTATTAATGATCGAAATTTTTTATTTTTTATTTTATTTTTCAATTAATAATTTAATGTGTGTTGTTTCTATTCTACCAAACGATTACTTTGAATACAAACAAACAAAAAATACAAATGAAAATATATGCAATACATGTGTGTTTATTTATTATGATGAATTGTCATATTGAAAAAAATTGTTTTACAGATGAAACAATGTTTGTTTGATTTGTATATATATATATATATATACATGTATACTGTCTATGTATGTGTATAGTAATTCTTTTCGATTCAAAATATACAATGAGAATTTTCAATTTACTAGATAGAAACTATTAACAACTTCAATTTTTTGTATAGTTATTTGTCGCCTTCTATTTAATTTGGCGACATACTTAAATTTTATTAGATTTCAATTTGGAAAATATAAAAGCCCCTCCCCACTCCCACCCTCCGCAAAAGAACAACAAAGAATAAATGTAGATAGCAAATAAAAAATAAAAACCTGTAGAGTGGTTGTTATTTCATTTATGGGGCACATTATGTCTGCATATGTTTACATAATAGGTAGGTGTATGTGGCTACGTGAGCGATGATGTTTAAATTAATTAATTAATTAATATAATTAAAAATAATGTTAGGAAGTTCATTTATTCGTTTAATTGTAATAATAGAATAATAAAAAAAAACAAAAACTATTCGATTCTATTCAGTATGTATCTATCAGTTCCATCGTTTTTTTTTGCTTTTCATTAATGCGAAGTATTATGTTTTGTTTTTTTTTACAACCGAATTTCAGACAACCAATTTACAATCATCATCATCCTCATCAACATCAGGGAACGAATTATTTTTAATGGATTTTAATTCAAACACGTAGAAAACAGATATCGATTCGTTTATATATATAAGCCACGTTCAATTGATTAGAAATAACAATAAAACCACCAACAGAGACGAAGAAATTCTATCTTATAGATTAACGAATAAAAAGTTGTGCAAGAAATCGATAGTCAAGGGAAACACAATCATATAGTTAAGTGGAGAAATCTATAGATTTTAAAGTAGAAGATATTGGATTGAAGACTGAAGGCTTAGGGATAATACTGAGATGTATTGGGATATAGATGTATCCAGTTGATAAAATGAAATGTTTAGTTAAAATCTTCTTTGTGAAACTAATGTCTTATTTCTAATGGTATTGGATTGTGAAGATTGGAGTTTAGTACTGATGCTCAGTAAAACTGCAGTAAAATTCACCATTGTTTTGTTTCCTACTATCAGATCGTACTTGCACTAGTCATGGTGTCAGCTTCAGTTTTCTATCGTGTTAAATGGGTAACTCAACAAAATTCAAGAGAATGCTTTGAGCTTTAGTTTCCATATTTCTGCGATTTATCCTCCTTGAGAATTTTGAGAAATATACACTTTATGTTCTTTATTCAAACATGATAAACTATACGTTCGGAATTGCGTTGTACACCCTTTTAGAAATATCGTCATCAGCATTATGGATAAAAAGAATTTATTTCATTAACATAGTTTAAGAATTATTTTTTACAGTTTAACGTTTCATTAGACTCCTGTCAAGTGTTCTAGCCTAACAATGTGACTAATATAAGGACAATCTTACTGGTTTTCATCGAGACTGTTAAACGTTGGATTCAGAACACATAGCAGTGTTAATTACCATTCTCTAAGTCAGATAATTCAAAGAGGAGACAATGCTTATCATAACTATAACATATTAGCGCAGTACATTTCGACTAATCTAATTACAAGTTTACTGGTTAAAACTTGTTAAGTGTACTGTTTACCTGATTGACTAGAGCTTAACCGAACATTGTGTATATTATAACAAAATAAAACTATTTTTAAAATTTGTATGAGTGGAAAACTGAGTTTATAGCGTTTCACGACTTAATATAAGTCACTTCCTTAAAGAATAAGAAAGCTTTGTATAGTTTTTCATTTGAAACATATGTAAAATGACTGGATACAATATCAATGTTTATTCACTATGTATCTTTTTTATATATAAGTTTCAAAACTCCGTAAGAAATTGTATTATGTAAAGCATTGACTTATGAATTATTACTGTGACACCTATAGTTCATGGGTTGACGAGTCTATTAAACTGGTTTACCACTTATCCCAGTCGTAAATATAGTTATATCATATTATCACAAAATTATAAAGTGGTTAGTAGAGCTTGTAAAAACATTACACTGGGAAATTTCAAATCACAGTGTACACGATATTTTTGAATCTATCTATAGAATTAAGAATTTCATACTGAAGGAATTTGTAATGTCACTTAATGTATCCTTCTTCATTCACGCAGATGCGCTTCATACTGAAAGTTAATTTTATACATAATAACTTAGGGGATCAACGGATGCAATTTGTACCAATACTTTCTACTTAAAACAATTGGTTCTTGATGTTCAGTCAATCTACATTTTTCTATATTTTCAATCAGCGTTATGGAGATTAGTGTTTTTACACATTTGAAATCATCAATCAGTCATTATCAGACCACCATTCTGTTTAACGAGGAGTTATGGTGATACACTGGGGTTTTCACTGAATCTAATCCTAGCAGATTTCTTTTCGATAAAATTCTGAAAATGATCATTGAGAATTATAGTAAATGAAGTAGAAGTTTTTTTGCTCTATGAATGACACTCATATAGTTCCAAGATAAAAAAAAATGAGGCCTAAACCTTTTAGAACCATTTAACTAAGTTCAAATTCACAAGAGAAGATAAAATTGTGACACTATGTCCTTTGTATGTACCTTATTAATTAGAAAAGTTAAAGAATAATAATAAGAAATCTGTATCGTAGATCGACTGCGTTAAGCCAACATGCATATTTTCTGAGAGTTGTTTCATTATGGAACTAGAAGTACTTGTTGGCATGTCATACGTAGACGGGAACCGAAATGTATCCATGGTTTACCAAGTAGAAAAATACATATGAAACTAAAGCTAGAATAAAGTCGTTAACAGTACCCTGAAGCTATTGCTCATGAAATTTCAGTTCATAGTTGACATAGATGGGGAAACAGTGATTGGTTTTATAATCGAAGCCACTGCACGTAAATTTTATGCTACAAGAATATGTCCTTTATTCCTCAGTTAATTGGTAGTGCGTTCACAAAATAAAGATAAAACTACCTGGTCCCACCACGGCCGTTTGCGTTTATCATTTCGACGGCTTCTATGAAGCTGGTTATTTTGGTATATGAACTCAGGTAAATACGTCGTACTTCTAATTCCTATCCCTTATAATGATCAGGGAACTGAAGAGAATAATAAAAAACTCTATTCTAATGCATTTAGACGATACTGGTCACCGCATCCATCTAAGTTCAGCTGTTAAAGTTATCCGTAGAATCAAATCAAGCTTTCTGTTACATACGGTAAAAGCTATAGGAATACACAGTAATAGATCTATTATTTGTGTACAGAAAAGATTTGTACAACATTTTCTTTTGAATCGTCTTTCCACTTATATATGTATATATATATAATATTGTCATAACCGGATTTTCTAATTTCCTTTATATCTGTTTAAATAATTACTTGTTATTATTATTATTATTATAATTAGTGTTATCAGAGCCAGTAAACATTTATGATCAACTGTCTAATTTTATTCTAGCTTCTATACTTAATCTAACGTAAATTATTTTACTACTT